AAGTGAAATTTCATAAAAATTTCTTCCACAGAATTTGTTAAACTAGAAGACTTATTTTTTCTTGATAAAACTTATTATAGCCTCTGACATGCTGACCCTACTTCTGGGACAATATTCTAAGAATATTACAAAAAGAAATTAAAAGAAAAAGGTTACTACAAACAAAAATGTTCACAGTTTTAAAATTTGTAATAGTAAAAACCAGAAACAATCAAAATGCCCAATAATTGGGATTGGGCAAAAAATTAAAGTATATTAAAAGAAAATATAAAGATTTTAATGAAAAGATAAAGGGAATTTTTCCAAAATGAAGTCAGTTTTATATGATCATATAAACAAAAACAAAGACAGCAAAATTACCTATGGATAGAGAATTAAAATGGTATTATAATTTTCTTGAAATTTGTATCAATTTTTCTAATAAAAAAGTAAATAATTTGAATTTTAAGGTTTCATTTTGAATTACATTTCATATCCTGTTTATACCTACATGTTCAAAGTAGTGTTTCTAAGTTATGATTTTCTTTAAAAAAAAAAGGAAAAGAAAATATTTATAGCATTAGACAGTGCCATTCAATGTGAGCAGTAGCAGGAACCCTGAAGCCATCATAAACCCAACTGTTCTAACTTGGACTCCACTTCCTGACTAACAAGGAAAAGTGAAAGGAATAGATAATGTACGGAAAAGGGCTGACAGTCATCAGGGCTTCAGCCCACCTGGTGGATGGCCCAGAAAGTACCTTAACTACTCAGTTCTCTCTCTCTCTCTTTCTCTTTTTTTCTTAAATGTTTCCATATACTTCCTTTGTACGTACTTTGTATGTATTTCTTGGCTAACTGCTAATTTAGATCTTGATCTGATTTGGGAGACCACTGTTCTATGCAACCAGGGTGTCTTTTTTCTCCTCCGTTTGTTTTTAATTTCTTGGAAGCTAAAAAATTCATCTCATTTCTAAATTTGGGGAATGGCTCATAGAAACAAAGTAATTTTGTCAGCATACAACTGTGTTCCCTTTGACATTGTGTTTCTAACAAGGAATACTGCCCCCAAATTAAATTGGAACTGACATGCATGTAAACATGTTGCCTTAAATGACAATATTTGATTAGTTCTAATTCTGATAGTTTGCCAATTTTCTACAATTAGCTAAAAATAACTTCAAACAGCAAAGTTAAGGGTTTAAATCTAAAGAAAGTACTAAATGAAACTTTTGACTTCCAAGATCCAAATTTTAAAATGATTCAGATTACTAACTACAAAATCATCTCCATTTTTTGCCTCATTCTGAACATACAGAGAAATCAGTTCATTATTTCAGATAAATCCCTACAGGGAAAATAACTATAAATTAGCACTCTGAGCAGCAGATTCAGTTGCCTTAGTAAAACAAGGGGGTTGCCCCTTTCATCTACCATTCTAGCAACATAGAAATGGAACTACGTAGGTAGTTAAGGACCAAGATTAATTATAAGAGAAGGGAATGAAGAAATCTACATGGCTATTAAAATGATTAAACAAGGTGATATTCATAGTTGTTAATTCTCATGTTATTTCTAATGTACTAAACTTTTTAAGGGAAAATATGGCAAGGGAAATCAAGTGTCTATTCTGAAGAAAAAAACCTCAATATGTTTGTAAAATTAAAGTATTAACAATATTTCTATAGTTTTAGAAGAAACCTCGTGTTCTTTGTTTTTTGTAAGTCAAACAAATGTATTCTACATTTTTAATTAAATGAAATTAACATTATTTTTTGCTTTTCTACCACTTTATGTTCCAACAAAACCAAACAGTAGGGTTTCTATATGAGTTTGAGTCTTACAGAAATCAGCTTAATTAGGATCCTAAAAAGTGACCTAAGTACACAGTAAAAATGATGTATTTATAATAACTGCACTAGTCAACTTGGCACTTTAAACATTTCCTTAAGTGTTCATTTAAAATTATTTAAGTGGCCAAAATTTTGAAGACTAAGAAGCTGAGCTAGGAGCCAGGAGACCTATCTCTGGCTGTATGACTCTGGGCACGTCATTTAACCTCTATGGCACTCAGTTTCTTCCTTTGTAAAATAAGGCTGCATTACCTGATCTTTAAGATGCCTTCCAGCTTTATGTTCTTACATTGTGTGCATATCCTATCTCATTTTATCCCTCATTTCCCATTTGATTATAACCTTTTTAAAACTGGGGACTGCCTAGTCCATTCCCAGTGCCTAAAAGTGCCTTGGTTAATATTTTTGTTATTGCTGAAAAGAATGTTGCAGAGAAAATATATCTGTTTGTCTTGAAACAATAGACACGGTGGGGGGGGGTGGGAGCCAGCTGGGCAGTGCAGTGGATAGAACAGGCCCTGGAATCAGGAGGATCTGAGTGCAAATCCCACCTCAGACACTTGACACTTAATTAGCTGTCTGACCCTGGGCAAGTCACTTAACCCCACTGCCTAGCTCAAAACAAACAAAAAAACCCAAAACCAGACGCTAACAATTCAGTAATTTCATCCCACTCAAAAACATTTAGTTTGTAAAATGTAGAACTACATTTTATACAGCATATATATTTTATTCAGGAAAACTTCACTATCTATACTAGAATTACTCAATATTTTAAGAAATTGATGTACTCAAAGTTTCTAAGCATGACTAAGAACTCAAAAAAAGTGCCAAATTTTTTGACTTTTAAGTGTCCAATTTTGATTGTGATACAATGACAATAAATGAATAAATTACACTGAGAATACAATAAGAAGTTTCCAATTTTAAGGAATTTATAATCTATGGTGGGGGGATGAGATAAGATTGGTATACAAATAAGATCATAGTGTATCATAATGCTAAAAGGAACCTCAGAGATCAGATAATCCAAGTTAATTTTATAGATGAAGAAATTGTGACCAAACTAACACAACTAGTTTTGTAGAGTTAAATCTCCCAACTCCCATATAATCTAATATTGGAAAGGCAACATAGAATTAAAAAGTGCTGAGAGCTGGGTCTTCAGAAAGACCTAGGTTCAAGTCCAGCCTCAGACACATACTGGCTCAGCAATTACAGGCAAGTCACTTAACAGTCTCAGTACCCACATAACACTTTAAGATTATAAATTATAGAGAAGCTGCTGATTTGCTTCAATGGAGGGTGTCCCCACACTGATGAAATCACAGACCAGAACCAAAACCAAAATAAAATTTAGCATTATGAAAATCTTGAGTATAACAGTGCGTTACTGGTACAAAGGTATGCATTTAAATATTCATTGTCCATAGTTTAGCAAAGTTTGTGTTCTTACATATAAAACACCTAAATAATTTGGAGAAAATATGCCGAAGTTGTTGCTTATATTCATGTTCGTTATCTGCAAACTTTCTATGTATCAGGTTTAGTACAGTTCCCATTATATACATAACCACATACATTTCAGGCCCATGGTAAAAAAGAATAAAATAAAAATACTGCATTGGGAATTTTAAGCCTCAACATGGCTGACACTTTCTAGGCTGAAGAACTTTTTAAATCATAAAAGTAGGAGACAATGAAAAGTACAGCAAGAAGATCTATGACTACCTAAACTTTAAGCTTTAAAGGCAATAAAGTGACCAAATTCACAGAATATCAAGTCTGCAAAAAGTCCTTAGATCCTAATCCATTGCATTTCAGCTCTCACCTGAGCATATCCAAAAAAAAGTTATTTTAAAATCCCACGGGTGTCCAGTTAGTCCATTCAGTGATATAACCTTAGAACTTAAAAATGCAAAAAGATCTCTATAAATAGCAAGCCTTATTATATACAGCTCACTAAGAACCACATTCTACATCTCCAAGTTACAATGCCACAAAAGTGACACCTACAACCCAGGCAGGCCTAGTGAACCACCGCAGCACAAGAAAGCGGTAGGAATGTGTGCTGTTCTCTCTCCCCTGGGGCCAATGACACAGCTGCTCTATTCCCTAGGCTGGACACATAGCGGTCTGACAAGAGTTCTCCAGGTCCAAGGGAAGTGGAGGTGAGGAAAGAGGAAGAGGAAAAAGCAGGGAGGTGGGGGTATGGATGGGCGTGGAAAAAAGGAAAAGACAGGGAGATGATGTGGGAGCTGGAGAAGACTGAAGAAAAGGAGGATGGGTGAGAGAGAGGAAAAGACCAAGAGAGAGTGAGCGGAGGTAAAGTAGAGGAAAAGGGAGAGGGAGAAGTAGAGGGAAAGAAGGAGGTGGGGAGAAGCAGAGGGAAAGAGGGAGAAGGTGGGGGAAAGAAGGGGGAAGGTAGAGTAGAAGTAGAGGAAAAGAGAAGAAGGTGCGGAAGAAGTAGATGAAAAGAGGGAGAAGGTGGGGGAGAAGTAGAGGGAAAGAGGGATAAGGTGGGGAGAAGTAGAGGGAAAGAGGGAAAAGGTGGGGAGAAGTAGAGGAAAGAGGGAAAGTGGGAGAAGTAGTGGAAAAGAGAGAAGGTAGAGTAGTAGAAGTAGAGGAAAAGAAGGTGGGGAAAAGTAAAGGAAAAGGAGCAGGTAGAGTAGAAGTAAAGGAAAAGAAGGAGGTGAGGGAGAAGTAAAAGGAAAAAGAGACAAGGTGAGGAATGAGTAAAGGGAAAGAGGGGAGAAGCAGAGGGAAAGGGGAAGTGGGAGGAGAGAAAAGGAGAGGGTGGAGGAGAAGTAGAGGAAAAGAGGGAGCTGAAGTGGGGGCTGGAGAAGAGGAGGCTGCAAGGAAGGAAAGTGGGAGAGGAAAAGGCCAGGAGAAAATGGGGGAGGGGGAGGACAGCCGCAGGAGGGCGAGGCAGGAGGCGCCGAGGGAGGACGGAGCCGGACCGAGCCCCGCCGGCTCTCCTCCGGCCCCAGGGCAGGCATTCCTTGCCTTATGCGGAGGAGGCCCAGCAGTCCCCACCCCCCACAGCGCCCGCTCCCTCCCGACACAAAGAGCGGGGCCGGGCCGGGCTGCCTCTCCCTCGCTCCGGTCCGGCCCGGCCGCCACGCGCGCCCCAAACCCCCCCGCCCCCCGTCCCGGGCTTCCGCTCACCTCGCCGCAGTCCGCGCGGGACTCTGGGGGCGCGCGCGCTCGGGCGGCGGGCCGCGTGCTGCGGGCCGGCCTGGCTCTCTCGCTGCCGCGGCCGCTCCGAGCTGTTTCCCCGGCTCTCCCGGAGGGCGGGCGGGCGGTGGCAGCTCAGGCTGCGGCTCGGGCTCCTCCTCCGGGGCGGGAGGAGGGGCGAGTCACTCCCTCGGCCACCGCCCCCTCAGAAAGCCGCCCGGGGCCCCGCCCCCTGCCACCGCCCTCTTCCTCCCGCCAGCCAATCCCCATCCGCTTCTCCCCTTCCCCCGCCTCCCTCCCGTCGCTGCCCCTCCATCCCCCCCACGCGGACCCAGCCCCGCGCTCCCTCCGGAAACGCATTCCTCCCGGGCCGCGTCAGCCGCTCCGCCGGCGGCTGAGGAAGAGGACGAGGAGGAGTCAGCGGGGGAGGGAGGACAAAGGAAGTGGCGGGAGGGCCGGGAGGGAGCGGCCGCCTCGCCTCTGGCCGCCGCGTCGCCCTCCCGGCCTCAGTTTCCCTGTCTGTCAAAGCCGGCCGGGCTCCTGTCGGGGGGAGGAGCCGGAGCGGGGCCCCTGCGGGTCCTGCCCGCCCTTCCCAACCCCGGGACGGGGCACCTCGCCGGCCCAGCCAGGCCCAAGGCCAAGGCCGAGTCTCCCTCGCCTAGATAGCTGGGCAGGGGGTCTGGAATTTAAAAAAAAAAAAAGGAAGACTGGGGAGGGTCTGTTAATCTGGATAAATAAAGGCATGGCGTGGGTCCCCTCCAAAACCAGGATGGGGAAACTGAGGCCGGAGGCAGCAAACTGCTAGCGGGCTCCCTCCCAAACTACCTTGCACTTAACTACTTTGTATGAATTAATTTTATAGTCATGTTGTGTATCATATACTTTGCTCCTCCCCTTAGAATATAAGCTCCTAGGAATGGGGATTGTTTTCTTTCTTTGCACAGTGAAAGTGCTTAATAAATACTTGTTGATTGACCCCAAGAAAAATAGAGGAGGTCTGTATCCCTATGAGTCTGATGTATTTCTCCCCTCTCAGTCCAAATAAGTTTTTAAAAAGCCTTGGGTAGGTTCATTAAAAAGGAAGGAAACAGTATTCATTATGAGACTTCTGGATAGGCAGGGTAGATTTTAGATAAAAGGAATGAAACTGAATACCAAGGTCACACAGAAACCCAGTTACTCAAAACATATTGCCTAGGCATGATACCATCTTGCTGAACTGAAGACGTGGCTATTTGGAAAGTTGTGGCCTTCTTGGGCAAACAGCACCCTAAATTGTAGACTTTAAGAGGAACTTATTTCTAGTGGAAAGATGAGGACAGGAATATGCTTCGCAGTCCAGTTTGAACCAGATCTACAAATTAAGTATAGCTGTTTTTGCTTAAATGCATCAAAAGGTGGAAATTTTACTTAGCACTGGCAGAATTAAATCTACTTCTTTGCCCTAATGAAATGAGAATTACTTTTCCTACTTGGGATTAGCATGGGTGTAATGGATGAAGCCCTACATTTGGTATTAGAAAAAAATATAGGTTAAAATCTCATGTCTAATAAGTACCAATTGTGCAAGTTCCTTTAATCTTTCCAAGCAGCAGTTTCTTCCCCCATAAAATGGGGAGACTTGTCTTGAGGAACAATTGAGATAATATATGCAAGGTGCTTGTAAACCTTAACTTTATAAATGTCAGCTATTATTAGAAGAGAATAAATGGCATTTTCAAATATATGTCCTAGTGGTAAAGCCATCAGAACATGGATCCTTGGAATTAAGGATGATTGTACTGTTACACAAAATTAGCAACAACACTAACGGATAGGAAAACCTTATAGTTTATTCAGTTATGAAACTGGAATTGAAGCTCTTGGGTAGGCATGTAAAATTTTTTTTTTGATTCCTGCTCAATTGACATATGACATTCAACTATAACATTTGATTCAGTTAGTGTTCAGTTAAAAACTGGAAATTATGAACCTATGTTCAGCCTCAGGTTAGTCATTGTTTTTATTTGACAAGTAGATTTAAATTTCTGTATATCTGTTTTTTGAATGTCAAGTGACCTTTCAGAATCTGAAAGATTTTCATCTTTCAGATAGAGTTGAGTAAAATATCATTAATGCTGGCAAAAACAATTATCTAGTGCTACATATATTGTGTTCACCTGTACATTATGATTATTTACTAATGGCATGTTACTAAGTATGGTGCCCCTTCAGCTACTTAGAACTTTTGATTTAAGCAACCATTTTAAGTGCCCATTATGTGCAAGGTCTTGGAGGAATAAAAGACAAAAATGTGAAAGTCATTGGCTTAAAGGAACTGTGAAGATACAAAGTGCACATAAATAAGTCTAGGACTTATTTGGATTGTGGAGGAAGAGAAAGCTGTAACAACAACCCAAGGCAATCAGAGAGAGACTTCATGAAAGGAGAGGTGGCACCTGAGCTGAGCTGTAAAGGAAAGAAAACAGATTCTGAGACAGGAAGTTGAGAAATATATATATACCAGACATGGCAAAGGGCATGATAAGAATGAATAATGTATGAAAGTTGGGGAGTTCAAGAAACAGAGACTGCATGAAGGGGAGTAGTATGAAGCAAAGCTAGAAAAGTCGGTGGGAATCAGATTGTGGAGGGCCTTCAATGCCAGACTAAGAAATAGTCTGGGGGATCTACTAGAGATTTTTGAGCAAGGGAGTGACGTGGTCAGTTGTGTTTTCAGATCATTTTAGCAGCTATGTTTAGCTTGGATTGAAGGGAGAAGAGACTAGAAATCCTGGAGACCAATTAAGAGGACTCCGTAATAGCCCAATGGAGAGGTAATAAGGTACTGGATTAGAACAGTGAATCTGTAGGTGGAAAGGAGACAGACAGAAGAGATTTTGTGTAGGTAGAATCAATAGACACTTGTTAAATTCAAGGCACTCTGAATACAAAGAAGACAAAAGAGAAACAGTCCCTGTTATCTCTCATTGAAGAGTTTCCCTTTTGTGGGGTGAGAGACAATATGTAGACAGATAAGCATATAAAAAGTAATTTTGGAGGGAAGGGCACCGACAACTAGAGCAGGGAGCGGGAAGACTGGATCAGGAAGGGTCTCATGGAGGAGGTGGCACTTCATCAGAACTTCGAAGGGAGCTGAGGACTTTAACAGGAAGGAATAATGAGGAAATACAGTACAACTGTGTAAAGGCAAGGCTGCAGGAGACATGATTTGGCAATTGACTGAATATGAAGGAGGTGGAAGGATCAAAGATGGCTCTGTGATTAGAATTTGGATGACTGGAGGTATGTTTCCTCAACAGAGGAAACAAGGAAGTTTGGAGATGGAATAAGTTTGGGAAGGGAAGAAATAAGTTCTATTTTGGACGTGTTGATTTTGAGACAAATAGATTTTGAGACAAATACAGGGCATCCAAGAGAAGATATGTTGCAGGAAGTTCAGGGGAGAGATTAAGACTGGATATTTATTTTTGATACTTAATTTGCATCCTTGAAAACTGTTGAGATCTCTAAGAGATTTTATATTTGTTTTTCTATGCTAATTTTGGTTTGTGAGTGTAGATGTATCATTTACCGAAACCCATATGTGCATGTATATGTATGCTACTACACTTCACACAAGTAAATAATTCTGTAGTTCATACCCTTTATGCATTTTTTTGTCAAAGTGGTGATGGATTTTGCTCATCCTTCAATCTTTAACTGAAGTTCTCCAGTGCATTTGCAAGATATTTGATTAGGAATGAAAGTATGGTGTTAGAACTATGTGACACTAACATATAATCTGAATTGATGCTTACAGTAGTACTATGGAATAGGTACTACAAATATTATTATACACATTTTATAAATGACAAATTAAAGTTATTAAAGGTTAAGTGACTTGCCCAAAGTTACATGGCTATCATGTGGCAGACAAGGCCTGGAACACCAAGTCTTTTTTTTTGTTTTTAAATCATTAAATTTTATTTTATTTTCAGGAAGATCTATCTTTTCTCCCTTCTGCCTTTCTCAAAACTCCTGATTAAGAAAGCAAAAAAACCCAAACCTCATCTTACAAACTTGTACAGTCAAGCAAAACAAATTTTCTCTTTGACCATGCCACCACTCCCCCAAAATATGTCTCAATCTGTACTGAGCCCTTTCTATCAGGAGGTAGAAAGCATATTTCATCATGATTGCCCTGGAACTGTGGTAAGTTATTGTTTTGATCAGACTTCCTAAGCTTTTCAAAGTTGTTTGTCTATTCAGTATTATTGTTATTGTATAAATGGTTCTCCTGGTTCTTCTCATTTTACACTGCATCAATTCATACAAGTCTTCCCAGGTTTCTCTGAAATCAATCCCTTCATAATTTCTTATAGTACAATAGTTTTCTATCACAATTATATACTGTAATTTGTTTGGCCATTTCCAAATTGATGGACACCCCTTCTGTTCCTAGTTCTTTGTCACTACAAAAAAAAAAAGTTGCTATAAATAGTTTTGTACAAATGAGCCTTTTCCCTCTATCTTTGACTCTTTAGTGTATATATAGACTTAATAGTGGTATTTCTGGGTTGTAGGATATGCACAGTTTAATACTTTGGGGGCACGGTTCCAAATTATTTTCCTGAATAGGTAGACCAGTTTTTAGTGCTACCAACAGTGCATTAATATGCCTGTTTTCTCACAACCCCTCCAACATTTGTCATTTCTCTTTTTTTTCAACTTTGCAAATCTAATGGGTGTGAGGTAAAACCTCAGCATTGTTTTAATTTGCATTTCTCTAACTATTAGTGTTTTAAAACATTTTTTTATATGGCTATTGATAGCTTGGATTTCTTCCCCTCCAAATGGCCTATTAATGTGCTTTGACAATTTATCGATTAGGAAATGGGTCTTATACACACACACACACACACACACATAGATCTTAGAAGTGAGTACTTTATCAGAGAAACTTGCTGCAAATGTTTTTCTTATTTACTTGCTTCTCTTCTAATGTAGTAGAATTGGTTTTGTTTTGCAAAAACTTTTGATTTTATGTAATCAAAATTGTCCCTTGTACCTTCTGTGATCCTCACTTACCCCTTGTTTGATCATGACCTTTTCCCCATATCCATAGATATGATAGGTGATTTATTCCTTGCTCTTCTAATTTGTTTATGCCACTTCTTG